AAGAAAGAAAAGAAAGAAAAGACAAAAAAAAGAAAAAGGAAAAAACATAAGGACGCACCCGTGCCGAGGGGAAGGGGTCCCCCTCGGTCAGCTCATACAGCGTCACGACGACGCCCTTCTGCGCCGTGTCGTCGACCCACGCCTCGACGAGGGCGGCCCACTCCTCGGGCGTGCGCCAGTACACCCAGACGGCGTCGCCGTCGCGGGCGACCGTCGCGGCGCGGCCGTCGCGGCGCATGGCGTCGAGGACCTCGCGCGCGTCGGCGGGGGCGAGGCGGCGGTTGAGCGTCTTGTTGTGGAAGAGGTCGTCCGTGTTGTGGTGGGTGGTGTTGGCCGTCGCGGCGGCCGGCAGGAGGCTGGGGTCCGCTGCTGCGGCCGAGGACGAGGCGGCCGAGGGGGGCGTCAGCTTGAAGATGCGGTGGTGCTGCGTGTAGGCGAGGATGAGGGCGGACCATTTCTCGAGCTGGGCGTGGTGGGTCGTGAGGTTTGTCTGGCGGGTGAAGAAGGGGGGGAAGGAGTATTCGCGGGGGAAGACGAAGGGGGGTTTTGGCTGGGCCATGGTCGGTGGTGTCGCTAGGCGCAGTGCGGTGTTGGTGGTTGATAGACCAAGGTAGGTATGTTGAGGTTGAGGTTAGAAGTTGGAGCTCCCCGTCATCCGTGGAGGGGCTCTGTGGTCCTCTACAGGTACCTAGGTACTGTGTGTGCTCTTGAGTGGGCAGTGGGGCAAACTGGTGGGGCATCTTGGGCATATGCATAGCTCCGGTGGACAGCTTCAAGACATCACTCTTGCTTCACATACATGGACTTCATCATCAAGAGGTTTCCCGCGCGAGAAGAAAATTCTAGGCGCATACTGTTCATCCACTGTTCCGTTCTTCCACGGTGCAACCAACCAGCGGAGATCCCCGTGGAGTGGTCAAGAGCCTTGAGCATGTCGACAGACGATGCTATAACAAGAAGCCCCCAGCATCATGACGGCATCAAATCTGAAGCCTACTCGGCTCGACTCTATGCATGACACGGAGACCTGAAAACAGCCGACGCCAAAATTCACAGCCCTCCTTCGGTCTGCACCCATTTCCTCAACATACGGTCTAATGACAACCTAACCGGGTTCCTCGTTGAAGCAGCGTGCAGAGCTTCTCTCCACTCATCCAACCCGAAGTCTCTCTCCCCATGCGAAGGTTACGATCATCAATGCGCGGGGCGCATCTACAGATAGAGTCTCGAAGCGCAAGAAGCATAGTTCACAACTAGTTCAACGGATGAAAAATTACAGGCCCACGTTCATAGACCCTGTCCCAGCCAAGCCACACGAGTCCCATCCTGCTCTCCTATCGTCATGCCAAACCAATTCTTCAATCCTATTCCGTCTGCGTCGGCAAACATGAAGAATCCTAGCCAGCCCTGACAGAGAGCGGGATGCAGAATGATTCTGTGGCCCGGGGCTGACTACGGGGCTCCTTCGTGGAGCTGTCAAAGGCTCTCAGTCCTTGCCTCGCGGACGCGAACAACAAAAGGCAAGCCCTTGCCAGGACCATCTTTGAGGTTGCGGATGCCTTACCACGGACAACACCGGCGGATGATCATTTTAAGCGATGCGTCTGTGGATTCGAAGATGGATCTCTGCATAACATTCAGAATGATCTCAGGGAGCGTTGGCCACGATTCCTCTCCGAATCGCAAGACGGTGCAGTGCTCGGATCTCTCGAGCTCAACATCGCAAATGCAGACCGTACAATTTCGTACTGACTGCCTTGACTGCAGACGTGATGCAACACAGGCGAGAACATTCTCTTGCACCAGTCGCCATTCATGATATAGTCAACAGACGATGGCACGTTGCGTTTCTGGATGACAAGGTCGATGAATGTCCAAAGCTCCATGATGCGTCTACTTCCTGCCCCGTGGCTCTAGTTTATGTATCTACATTGTGGTATATATCTCCCCCCGACAGATGACGTTCCTCGCACAACATGCAACAGCAACACGCAACACACTCACAGCTCGCTCACCAGCTCATGACGCCCCTCCCACGGTCAAAGCCGCCCCGCAGCTGCGTTTCCGGCTTGACGACCTTGCCCTGCAAAATCGTATACCGAACAAGGTTCTCGCAGTCCTCGGGCATGATGCGCGCAAGCCAGATGCACTGCCCGACACCGACGTCTCCCTCTGCCTCCTCTTCCGTCTCGGCAGCGCCATTCGCCGCGGCGGCCACCACCTTTGGCCTGACGTCACCCCCAGCCGTAGCCCTCTGGACGGAATCGAGGCCGAAAGCGTCGGGCTTGCGGTAGACGATAACGTTGGCGCTGTACTTGTGGCCGCCGACGTGGGAGATGAAGTAGATGCCGACGCCGCCGGGCCTGTGGTCGTCGAGGTCGCGCGCGAGGCCGAGGGGCCGCAGGTGTCTCTCGAGCTCCTTGCGGATGAGGGGCGCCGACTGGCCGCAGCGGGCGTCGCGCGTCTTTTGCGAGCACAGCAGGACGAGGGCGCTGTGGGGGCTCGGGCGGCGGACAAGGGCGGCGACCTGGGCGTCGGTGCTGTCGGGCGCCGGCAGGGAGCGCGGCAGGGTCAGGGGTTCCAGGGGCGACGTATTGGTGGGCGCCTTTTCGACAAACTCGGTCAGCAGGGCGGGAACGTTGGCCGGTGTGACGTTCTCGATGATGGTGAAGGCGGGCAGCAGCAGGACGGTGGTGGGGTGGTCGTAGTCGCTGGTGCCGTGGGGCGTGGGCATGTTTGTGGCGGAGAGCATGAGTTTCTGGGTCGTTAGCATGGTGCCCAAGACGCTGTTCACAGTGGACTTTGGAAGGAGTCGGGAGGGAATGTGTGAGGCAGGGAAGCATACCCCGTTACTTGGCGCCGCAGCCTTGCCAATGGCCTCCATGACGCTGCCCTTCTCGTCCTCAATCTCGCGAACCCAGTCGGTCTTGCCGGTGGCGACGAGGAGGTGGGTGCTGAAGCCCTTTTGCACGCCGTAGAGGGCGTCCTCTGTCTCAATCTTGAAGCCGCGCGGGTACTTGATATGGCAGCTCTCGCAGTCGTGGGAGCACTCGTCACCGTCGACGGCGGGGTCCGTTTTGGGGAAGAGGTCGAGCATAGGCGTCGCGCCGCCGGTGCCGAGGGCAAAGCGCTTTGCGCCGGCGACGAGGGAGGCGAAGACCATTTTTGTGTCCCTCTACCTAACGTGTCGTA